AATGTGAGCTAATGTGGAATAGTAACAGTGATAAAACAGCTTTGTCTAAACCTGTAAATCATGCACACGCGCTCCAGCTTAGTGTTGTTTAGAGAGTTTCACCCACTTACAAGATCTGACTTGCAGTTACCACAAATGGGGAATTATTTTCTTCCTTATTCAGGCTGAGGGGTATCACAATTTCAAATAAAACTTATCACTTGACTCTAGGAAATATATTTCCCCATCTTTGAAATAATATCCAGGACTAAATCAATGGGGCACCTGAATTCTTCCTTCATGTCTTGTACAAGGCAGAATTAAGATCCATCTAGCTACTAACTCCTGCAGAAGTCTCTGAATCTCCTAAATCTGGTGAGTTCTCAGCCTTCTCGGTGCTGGAAGACAGCAGCAATCACACTAAGCTTGTGCGGCCATGCCTGCCGCTGAGCAAGACTGTCCCCTGTGTTCTGGAAGTGCTGTTCAGGCTGACTTCTAAACCCTAGATACTTGAGTTTGTTATTTACATGGTTTTTACAGGCATGTAACTTGAAAAAAAAACATCTTGTTATAAGGAATAGCCAGTCCAACACTAGCACCTGTTCAATTCTGTATGCAAAACAGCAGAATAACAGGTTTGCCTGCTGCTTTTCTTCTGCCTGATGAATCTAGCGCTTACTGTCCTTGTTATTAATGTAAGCACTTATCCTTGTTGATCATACATGATGCTTATAATGATTCTTTTAATCTAAAACTCTTTTTATGAAAAAAATCTGAATCTCTAAATCCTTGAACCTCTTCCTTCAACAAAACGCAGGGATCACAAAGCAGTCAGTTCTGCTTAAAAACTAAGGACAATTAAAAATCCATAGCATCCTTCAAAAGCGAATCTAAAATAATTTATTTTTCATGTCTCTGTAGGTTTGGATCCTGCCAGCAGAAACTGCAGCTATAGCAGGATTATTCTAAAGGGAATGCTAAATAAGTCACCTATCACCTGCCAGGCTTAGCTCACTTACACTGCTTTGTTGTATAACCGTTTGTGATTTACTGTAGCTATACACTTTTTCCCTCCTCTGTGCTTGAATGTTTTCTTCGGCTACTGTAACATGTCTCTGTAGGTTTGGATCCTGCCAGCAGAAACTGCAGCTATAGCAGGATTATTCTAAAGGGAATGCTAAATAAGTCACCTATCACCTGCCAGGCTTAGCTCACTTACACTGCTTTGTTGTATAACCGTTTGTGATTTACTGTAGCTATACACTTTTTCCCTCCTCTGTGCTTGAATGTTTTCTTCGGCTACTGTAACACGTTATTATGTCATAGCAAAATACTTAAACAAAGAGCTTGCTCTGGTGCGTCATCTCTTTTTATGAAAAAAATCTGAATCTCTAAATCCTTGAACCTCTTCCTTCAACAAAACGCAGGGATCACAAAGCAGTCAGTTCTGCTTAAAAACTAAGGACAATTAAAAATCCATAGCATCCTTCAAAAGCGAATCTAAAATAATTTATTTTTCATGTCTCTGTAGGTTTGGATCCTGCCAGCAGAAACTGCAGCTATAGCAGGATTATTCTAAAGGGAATGCTAAATAAGTCACCTATCACCTGCCAGGCTTAGCTCACTTACACTGCTTTGTTGTATAACCGTTTGTGATTTACTGTAGCTATACACTTTTTCCCTCCTCTGTGCTTGAATGTTTTCTTCGGCTACTGTAACACGTTATTATGTCATAGCAAAATACTTAAACAAAGAGCTTGCTCTTGGTGCGTCATGTCACTTACAGACACGTTTGATCCCTTTGTAAATGGAATGTCATGTTTGCCTTGTGGTGCCCTGCAGAGCAGATGAGATGCTTTTGCAAGACTTAAGAGAACTGAATATGAATTTAATAATTCATTTAAAATAGTGTTAAATCTGCTGCTGACATCTAGTGGGTACTTGAATTCGTAAATAACTCGAATGATCAGAAAGCATTAAGCTTTTCTTCTCAGTCTGTGAAGTTGTCTTGTCTTTGGAGCTAAATAAAACTCTCGTTTTTGATGAAGGCAAATAATATGCTACAAAGATGTTAAACTAGTTATCAATGAAATGTGTTCCAGAATGACAGGAAGGGGACACAAACACTGATTCTTTTGGATGTGGGTAAACGGAGATTTTTGAATTGAAAATCTTCCTCTGAAGCCTAGGTCTTCTGATTACCAGATCTTGCACATAAACCACAGAAGTCTCTTTTCCTTTTCCATTCTACTTTTTGTGCTGCTGGCACCTTTGTATAGGTGACGGTTATGTTTTGATAAGCGAATACAGAACTGTGTTATATGTTATGATATCCAAAAAATACCAGTGAAAATGGGGAATAGTTGTTTGTCCCCGTAATACGGTTTGCGGATTTCTGGCTAGCAGGATATGTTCTTTTTAACTAGAAATAAAGATTCTAAATTTTTGGCATGATAGTTTAAAGAATCATTAATACATCAGCTCAGTAGCTTGAATCCATAGAATGTTGATATCGCAAACAGAACTACTGAAAATTTGAGTAAGAGATGAAAAGTTTTGAAAAGGTTCCCAGGCCAAATAGTAACACTGGGGGTTAAGAGAGAATTTCTTCCAGGAGCGCGTTGCCCCAGTATTCTTGATTTTTATCCCCCCCCCCCCCCCCCCCCCCCCCCCCCCCCCCCCCCCCCCCCCCCCCCCCCCCCCCCCCCCCCCCCCCCCCCCCCCCCCCCCCCCCCCCCCCCCCCCCCCCCCCCCCCCCCCCCCCCCCCCCCCCCCCCCCCCCCCCCCCCCCCCCCCCCCCCCCCCCCCCCCCCCCCCCCCCCCCCCCCCCCCCCCCCCCCCCCCCCCCCCCCCCCCCCCCCCCCCCCCCCCCCCCCCCCCCCCCCCCCCCCCCCCCCCCCCCCCCCCCCCCCCCCCCCCCCCCCCCCCCCCCCCCCCCCCCCCCCCCCCCCCCCCCCCCCCCCCCCCCCCCCCCCCCCCCCCCCCCCCCCCCCCCCCCCCCCCCCCCCCCCCCCCCCCCCCCCCCCCCCCCCCCCCCCCCCCCCCCCCCCCCCCCCCCCCCCCCCCCCCCCCCCCCCCCCCCCCCCCCCCCCCCCCCCCCCCCCCCCCCCCCCCCCCCCCCCCCCCCCCCCCCCCCCCCCCCCCCCCCCCCCCCCCCCCCCCCCCCAAGCATATAATGCTGGGTTAAGTGGATGGTTAGTTTGCTGTAGCATTCAATTAATATTCTGCTCTTTTTAGGATGTTGGAAGGTATAGGAGATGGTTGAAGACTTCTGTAACTAGTTAGGTGTGATTTGCTGGTATTGTAAGTTCCCTGAGCTTGAGGCGCTTGCCTTAAGTTGTTTACCTAAAACCACACACTAAGAAAGTGGTATAACTGGAATTGGACTCCAGGATTTGTGGTTTCCTCTTTACTTCTCTAATCCTTTGGTAGTTTGTGAGAATTCGTAAGCGGTGCATATTTAGATGACACAATTGCTCTTCTTTTTGCATGACTTCAGGTGACAACCTGAAGGTAATTACAGCTGTATGACCTTGTTTATAAAAAGTTCCCACTGATGCACAATTCATTTTAGAATTGAAACTCCAGTAGCAACGATTCCTAGTGTCCCTTGCTGAATTATGTAAAATGATAATTTCTTATCAGATTATCTATTTAGCTCCCTGTATTCATATGAAAGGCAAACTTTCCAGGATAATAAAGCCGCTCACTTCTTGACACGCTGAAAGGAGCCAGAATCTGGACAACTAGAGGTCTCTTTGGTTTTGTAAATCAATGTGAACAGCAAAGGCTCTTGCCGCTGGTATATTATTGGTTTTCCTGTCAATAACGCGCGCTGGTCAGTGGAACACTGAGTAACGAACCCAGCTTCTCAACATATTTTTCTATGGGTTTGCTCTTCTTCACAACTCAAACTTAATTTGTGATAATGACTTACTGCATCAGTGAAACCCCGTTACTCATTGTGCCCATAGCAGCGGTGTCTACAAGGAGACTGGTGTAAAGGACTGTGATCTCTAAAAGCAGTTTACATATATCACTCTACCACAAGTTAAACTGCTAATTCTCTTCCATCTTAATGCATTAATGAGAGTATGGTGCAGTCCTGTTCCCACTGGAAACATGGCAAAATAGGGAGCAAACCATACAGATACTAAATCACAAAACATTGAAGTTCATTCCAAATGGACCTATTAAGTGTGTGGAAGTGTAGGACTTACCTGCCTTATCTACTATTTCATTTATCAAGATTTATCTGAATCTTATCACCTTTGCTTTTGTATTTTGTAATGAATTCTTTAAAGGTGACTTCATCTCATTTTATTACTGATAGGTTACTTAATACACAGTTTCACATAATTTATGTCACCTGCTTCAGTTTTGCTGTAAATTGTCTTTTACTTCAAGTGCCTAACAACCCCTTAAAAAGAAAAAAGCTGGGAAAAACTCTTTAAGAGTAGGGTCAAAGAAGAGACAGGTATATATTAACTGATTAGGGTATAATTGGACAGATGTATTAATATACTAATTAGATCCACTTCAAAAAAAAAAAGGGGGGGGAAATCCTGTAATTATATGGTAAAAAAGTATGGTCAAAAAAGGCTATTTTTATTTCCTGCTCTCAGAGAATTGTGGACTGTTTTCCAGGGGTTGATCCAGCGTTACAGAAGGAATCCAGAACTCAGATGCCTGTTCCATCTGCAACTCCAGCCTCAGCATCATCATCCTCATCCAAATTTCACCGAGCTCGCTCAGGGGGAGCCAGAGATGAACGCTATCGATCTGGTAAGGGCAGGAGCAAGAGTTCACCTGGGATTCCTGTTAGTGAGGAAGACTGTGCTGTGTACTCTCAAGGAGTCAAGCTTATTATTCGTCCACTGATGGAAAGTCCTACCTTGGTGGTTCTGTATAAAGAAACATCCAACTTGTAGGACTGCAGCTGCTGAATCAAAAAGAATGCCAAGTAGAAAAAGCAAATAACTTTTTGCCACCTTGATTTTCTGGCTTGAATGCAACTATTCAATGCAAGTTGTTCACAGAATGGAAAGCCTTTTTTAACCATGTCTGTAGGTAACCAGATTCAGTGAAGTGACAGGTAATAATTTGTTCCTGGAATTGGTGATTGCTGTGCATATCTGCTCTAGGAGCTTGGAGAATGAGAGCTGGCTTTCTCTATCTGTGCTTAAAGTACTTCCAAAGAGCAGCAGAAATGGCTGACTAGCGCCCTGCTGACTTCCTTCTCCACTTAAGGAAAGGAGGAGGTGGCGGCACCTATTTTTTTTTTTCCCACCTGGTTTTGTTTTTCCCTTTGTATTAACAAGATTTAAGTTTTCTTCTCAACACAGCCAAATAAAGTATACCAAATACACCTTCTCCAGTAACTCTGCTATCGTATACCACCATTTCATAAAGCATTAGAAGAGCCTAGTTTTCTGCTTTTTAGAAAAGCATAATTAAAATACATTAATCTGAGAAATTCATGTAGATGAGCTCTCCCTTGTCATAGTAGTTTTTTAATAAGTTGTCTTCTCACCATCGAGGATGTGCCTTCCTTTAAAGAGTTCTGGACATTTGCAGAGGGATGGAAGCCTCATGTCCTCACCTGTTTCATTTATAATCAGCACATATTTACAGCTGCAGTTAGTATCTTCCAAGACTTACATGAAATCTGCATCCATTCAGGTTTTTGCACATAAGGTTTTTCCTAAATCAGACAACTGGCTCAGAATTAGTCAGTTAATAGACTAGAGTTGCACCTGGGGCTGTAACACTTTAGCTTATGTGCATATTTTAAATTATGCACAAACATATTTTAGGATAATCTTTGGTTGAGGGGAACAATCTGGTGGGGTTGGGGTTTCTATGAAAGTTGCTAGAGACAGAGGAATATGATGACTAATCCAGAAGATTCCAGACTAAAAAAACTGGCCCTGCTGTATAGCTTGATCATGTTATAAACCTCAGTTAGTTTCCCTGGGTTTGTGTTTTGGTTTTTGTTTTTTGGGTTTTTTTAAAAGGAAATGTTACTCATGAGATGGCAAAACATAGCTGTTTGGGAAGGTACTGTAAAATGGAGACTTGCATAAATATAGTCGGCTAGCAATAGTTGCGCATGTGTAAGCCTTGTGTGTTTTTCCTCCTCCTCTACTGTTGCAAAACTGAGTATATGAACTTCCATTTTGCAGATATCCACACAGAAGCGGTTCAAGCAGCACTGGCAAAACATAAAGAACAGAAGATGGCCCTGCCCATGCCAACGAAAAGGCGGTCTACATTTGTTCAGTCTCCAGCTGATGCCTGCACTCCCCCAGGTTAGGTTCTTACAGTGTGCGTGTCTGTGTGGATGTTAAGGTATGCATTAGTAACAGTTTCTGAATCAAGAGGCTGCAATTGTCAAAATATTCAAGCTCTTCAGCACATTTGTAGGTAGTCTGTTACTCCTGTAGCTCTCTTGTTACATTTGAGCAGCTGCTTGTTTTCATGGAGCTGCTGTTAGGGCTGTGAAAATGCCTCCTCTTCCGGGAGCTTTTAAAGAATCAATTGGCAAGAGCTGAGCAGGCTTTCTGGACTGAGGCTTCTTCTTTTGCTTCCCTCACACCTATTTCAGTTGAATAATTCATGTTTTGATTTTGTTAAGGTTTAATACTCAACATACAGGAAAAGGATTTGCAGCGATGTACATTTCTGGGCAAGGACCTTGGAGAGGGTCCTGTGGGATTCCATGACTTGCAGGACTTTTCCTTCCTAACCCCTCCCATGTAATGGCTGCGGCAAAATACCTTGGATAACGTGGTGTCTGTTCTGGTGCATGTGCATCAGATATTAATAAACCTCTCTGTTTTCAAGCAGCTATATGCACTGGCTCAAAAATGAGTATGTGTAATTTTCAGCAGTGACTTTTATGTTGTCTCTCATTATGCAGAAGCATCACAGTCATTTGGATTGACGAAGTCGTCTGAATATTATGAATTCATATCTCATTGTGAATTCATATCTCTCTCTGAAACTGCTCTGCTAGGCCACTTCACTCATACCTATTCTTTTACCTTCTTTTTTCTTCATACTTCCCGTTTTCTTTTCCTTTCTACTGGGGGCTAATGCATGTTCCTGGTGTCTGCTTGGGTCTCAGCTTTGTACTAACTTGTCCTGGTGTCTGCTTTGGGCTCAGCTTTGTACTAACTTGTCCAGGACTACAGCCCATTCTGAGCTGTGGGTACTACATAAATAAAGGTTAGTGCTTACAGCGTGTCTGGAATCAGTCTTTTTCTTCAGCTCGTAACTACATTCTACTTTGGCAAGTAGGTAGAACATGATTTAATAGTTTGATTTACAACTAGAGTATAGGCAGGCAATCACTTTGAAGAACACGTAAATTTTAGGCCAAGGCCTAACTGAATGTTTATATGTAGCACTGTACAACTTAAGATATCAAGTAATGAGTGCTTTCTTCATGATAAATAAATAATTAGTTCACAGATTTAGGATAGAGAAGGTATCTGTTCTCTTGGAAACACAGGATGCAGTTCCTTGTTGTAGTTTTCTCTTTTTTGTTTTGTTCTGGGGTTGGGTTTTTTTGTTTGTTTTCTGCAATTGAAAGGGACCCATTTAGAATACCAGACAAAAGCATTTTCTGCATGTGGCCTTGGCACATTTGTTTCCCAGGGCCTGCGTTCTGCTTTGTTCCTGTGAATTTTCAGTTTTGACAATGATACTGACCCCTCACTTTCCATTTCAGAATTACCAAAGTTAGGCAATACAGCATCTGATATTATAGAATATGAATGGAAAAGTAATGAGAGATTAAACTTGGAGAACCCAGGGGAAGGATACTTGTCTGAGGAGGTGAATCTTTTGCGTGCTTTAAACAGGGGCAAAACACCAGGGGTAAATGCATTCACACTGGAAATGTCTGCTGCTTTAACTTCTGTTTTGGCCGGTGTAACCTTGTTTGACACAGCCCGCGAAAAAAAGATCTTCGTATTACAAGCCTGTACCATTAATATGTGAATTGGAAAGAGAGCATGTTCAGTGCAATGTGCTTTTCCCTAAGCAGCTAGATTTTCTTTTCTGCTTCCACACAGACACGTCTTCCGCATCCGAGGACGAGGGGTCGCTAAGGCGCCAAGCTGCTCTTTCTGCTGCATTGCATCAGAGCTTACAGAATGCTGAGTCTTGGATCAACCGATCTATTCAGGGGTCATCCACATCTTCATCAGCATCTTCTACACTTTCCCATGGAGAAGGCAAAGGGACCAGTGGGTCACTAGCTGATGTATTTGCCAATACTCGAATAGGTAGGAGATGGGTATGAACAGAAAAATTGCTTCAAGTTCAGATTGTATTAATAAAGCTGGAGTTGTCCATGGCATACAGGAAATTTGGATCAAGAGTTTAGTTAGTTTTGATGGAACTTGCTAGGATTTGTTGGAGTTGCACCATCACGACGTGTTTTTTCTTAAGAATTTCAGAATATTGAGTTGGTTGAAAAAGGGGAAGTGGGGAACAGGAGCTTATCAAAGTAAAAAAGACTCCAGGGTGTGATGGCAGTAGTGACAGGATCAGTAGGCACAACTTTCTTTCTGTATACTGTGTTGCTTATGTCTACAGCTATTTGAAGCTACTGTGTGTAAAAAGCTACCGTATGCAAGTAGTATTTGGCATCTGTGTCCTGATGAATACCATAGGGATGTCTTTGCCTATCGAGTGGGGGAAATGCTGTGTTTTAACATTCTCATTTTGCTATAAGCCCTAATGGTTTATTGTTTGCATTAGATTAAAAAAAAAAAAAAAAAAAAAAAAAGAAAAGAACCAAACCCAGCCATATGTGAACAAATGAGCACGTCATTAAAAAAAATGGTTTTAGCAGAGTAAAGATTTAGCACAGAACTTTCATGGCTAGTCTGAGAAACAATCAGAGCATCCAGGTATTGAGAAGATGGAGCAAAATCTACAGATCTGGATACCCCAGGCTCAGTTTTTTGAGGCTCTGAGGTGCTCCTTGCTGCTGATGCTTCTGTATGAAATTGCAAAGTTTGTTTTTGCTCTGTGTATGTTTGTCTTTTTTATCTGCTGTTAAGGATATTACTGCATCTTAGGAGGCGTCTGTATTTTGTGTGCTCTCTGCTTTTGCTTAACTGGTTTGGGGCAAGCAGTGCATAGAAGTGCTGGTGGTTTTAACTGTTTCACTTAATTTTTTTTTTATTGCTGTTATTTTTGTTTGTTTATTTGCTGGGGTGCAAGTTGTTTTCTGAAACGGAAAGCTGGGGAAATTGCCCATAAAATGTAGTCGATATATTTAATGTGTCTTTGAAGCAGAGAGGCTGTTTTTAATTGGAGCATACAGAAAGCCACGTTACCTTTTGTAATGAATTAAGGTAATACAGCTTTTTACCTACTATCTAATATAATTAGTATTTTATGCAAAATAGAAGTTTTAAATCTCTGTTGGAATTATATTTGCCACGTAGATGCCACATTCATCCTGTGTAAACACCTAATTTAAATGAATAAGAACTCTCACATAGGCAGTTTTATACATCTCTTTGGAGAGAGCAATGAAGTCCTGCAAATGTTTGGAGTTGTATAAAATCTAGGTCCTTCCTAGTGATTGCAGAGTTCAATACATGAGAAATATTCCTTGCCACCATATCTCCAAAGGTATGCAGAAATGAATTTTTTTTTTCTCCTTAGAAAGAGGGGCAGAGAATCAACCACAAAAACCTTTCTGTGGGAATTATTCAGTATCTGACTTCCTTCAGACTCTCTCTGTGCAAGCCAACACACAGTTCCAAAATTGTTGGGTTTTTTCCTTTGTAAGCAAGAGTTGCTGGTTCTGTTAAGCTAGAATAGAATATTCTTGCCCTATCAGATGATTGAACCTACTGTGTTGTAGAAAGAAATCCCATGTAAGCAAAAATCGCTTATTTAAGAGAAAGTTAATGAGAGAATTACTGAAGTATGCAGAGTTATTTGCAGTTTTGAAGCTTACAAACTCATCTGAAAAGCAGAACAGTGTCTTGCAATTTAAAGCAAAAGTAAGATCCAGCTTGGTCTCTTAATTAGATTTTAAGTTTATTATTTAACTGCTGGACAGGCTCATACTGTTTAGCCACCCAACTGGAAGAAATTTAAACCCAACATGATTTTTTGCTGATCTGCTTTAGTCAATAGCCTACCGCGTGTTTTGTTTTAGAAAGCCCTTACTAACAAAAAAGTTAAATAGTATAATTCTAGCAAGAGAGATTACTGCATAGGTGATGTAGGTTTTTGTTCTGGGGCTTTGAATATTTCAGAGCTCATATGGATCTCAAAATTTTTTTTTTTTTTTACAGTACTGAAATGTCAAGAGATTGAGCTTGATTTGAAGGTTAGAAACCAAGAATAGGAATTCTGTTTTGCTGAACCACTTTCCTGACATGGGCAAAGCCACTCATCTTGTGCCTTTGTTTTCTGTTTTCCAGAACAGATAATGTGCACCTCCTAGAGCTACTTAATGTTTAGGAAGCGGTGTGTTTAGCATTAATAAGAGCTCCCATACATTCAACCCATTAAATTCTTAAGATTGTTGGTAACAGGTAACTAACACTTTGCTTGTTCCATCTCATAATAGAAGGTATATGTTAACTGCCATCTCAATTTTCTCCCTTTTTTTAGAAAATTTCTCAGTTCCCCCAGATGTCACAGCAACTACCTCCTCTTCCTCAGCACGCCCAGCAGCAATTGACCTTCCTCCTTCAGGGATCGTGAAAGGCATGCACAAGGGATCTAATCGGTCTAGTCTCATGGATACTGCTGATGGTACGGAAACTTTCAGAGTACCCAGAAATTAGAATGGTGTTAAGGAAGGACTTAAGTCACATGATTTATTCTCCCAACTCAAGTTGATCCCATTTAAGCACTTCACAAATTTGAAATGGTTATGGCATTAGCATTAACACATTCCTATGCCGCAGTTATGACATTGGCATTAACACATTCCCACGCTGCAGCAATTACCTACGATGTACTGAACTGGAGAAAATCATGGGAGAGATAATAGGCTTTTCTCTCCTCTACCACTTTTTAAGAAAAAAATTACAAATGTGTAGGTGGGCTAATTGTTTTTAAAAGCTTTTGTCCTGGAATCCCCAAAAGGAAAGGTAAGATGAATGAAATAATGTAATTCTTAACTATAATTAAGCTCCCATGAAGCTGATAATACTCTAAGCTGGTTGGCATAAACCTTTGTGCAGAGGGGTAGCATTAATGCTTCTGGTCTTGTTGTGTCCTCCCTCTGCTGGCAGTCTTGCACTGCAGTTGGTGGATACTGCAGGCAGGCAGAGATCTGTAGGCTGTGTTTCACAGCAAGTACGGTGTGTCAGAGACCAATGGAAATCAGGCTTCGGAAGGGAGTAAATGCTTTAAAAATGAATTTCTATTACTAGCATTTTCTGACCACTGAGTTAATACAGAACTGGTATAATACTTACAAATGTCATCCTGCACTGGCCCAGCAATGGCCCAACCCTTCCAATAATGGAAGCCAGTAGTTGAATGAGTGGGCGCACAAGGAGAAGTATCCTCCGGTGGAAGGAGGTAAGATGTAAATGTTAATAGACATGATGAACACTTTTATTAGACAAAATCTTTCCCTCCAGGTGTTCCTGTGAGTAGTAGAGTCTCCACGAAAATTCAGCAGTTGCTTAACACCTTGAAAAGACCTAAAAGACCACCTCTGAAAGAATTTTTTGTGGATGACTTTGAAGAAATTGTGGAAGGTAATAGCACCAAAAAATGGTTTGTATTAATCATTTGTTATAAGTACACAGACATGCACAGTGCTGAATTTATTTATGCCATTGTTTTCAAATTTGACTCTGATTTGCTATTTGCAGCTAGCAGTAGCCTTCATGAGTAGTCTGATACAAAACCAATGTTTGAAGTAATTTACTGTACTGCTGAGCTTTGGGTGGCCTCCTCAACATTAAACTTGTTACGATAACTAAAACTTATTAACAAAAATATTTAAATAGGTTTTTAAAATCCCTTCATTTGCTTAGGCTATTATAATTTCCCCAAAGGGATTGTCTTTACTGGTAATTTCATTACAACCTTATTTTGTAAGATTGTTTTTCTTTTCTCCAATCCTGTGTTACTTTCCTCGCTGTTGTGTTGAATACCTTTTAATAGCACCTTAGGAGAAGACTATGTTCATGATGTTTTGTTTTGTGCAGGTCTTTCTAGGAAATGAAATGTGATAAGGGGTTGTTAAACCTAAATATGATGAGGAAAAGCATTTGTTTTCAGTGCGTCCTTCCAGCTTAACTGTCTGGTAACAAATAGGCAAAGATGAACTGGAAACATTATTGAATTTTCTTCAGTTCCACAGCCTGACCCAAATCAGCCCAAGCCAGAGGGACGCCAGATGACACCTGTGAAGGGAGAACCCCTGGGAGTTGTTTGTAACTGGCCTCCTGCCTTAGAAGCAGCACTGCAGCGCTGGGGAACCACACAAGCTAAATGCCCCTGTCTGACAGCACTGGATGTTACAGGAAAACCGGTTTATACCCTCACGTATGGTGAGTTGAGCCCTGGCTTCCGTTGCTAAACTGCTCTGAAAGAGCAGTAGTGGATAGAACACAGGGTTGTCGGTCTTAGTGTGGTTGCAAATACCTTCCTGGGTTTTGAGAGCTTTGTAGACAAAGCAGTGTTAACTGAAACAGAGGACGTGACTGTAGATGGTAAAAGCAGCCAAGAATTGAAATATTCTCTTGTATGCTGGGTTGATTTAGAGTTGTGCAAGTCTCTCTTCTTTGTGTTCTAGGCAAATTGTGGAGCAGAAGTCTCAAGCTGGCCTACACACTGCTTAATAAACTGGGGACCAAAAATGAACCCGTGTTAAAACCTGGAGATAGGGTAATGAGTTTGAGACTGTCTGGTTCTCCCTCTGAAATAAAAAGAGGGTTTTGGGGGGCTGTAACTTACCACAGACACTATAATCTTATTCTTTTAATAGTGAGACTCTTATCCCAGGGATAGGCTATTTGGGAAAGAACCGTTTGTGATTTTTCAGTCCTGCTGGCTGCTCTGTAAGCAACTTCTCGGCTCTGGACTTTGAAATACATCTAAGGAAGAGCATTGTACCTCTGAGAGAAATACAGAGTTTTAGACCTCTGTGTTTTGGCTGTGTGTACATCTTCATGTTTATGGGCACACAGGGAATGCTGATATTACTGCGTGAGGAACTCATGCGCATACCAGATATTCTGTGGAAGAAAGAGTGCTTAAAGATGCCCCGTGAAAAATGCTGTGGTAGAATGCGAAATAACTCAAACTTTTCTGACTTTTAGTCACTATAGATCTGAACTTTGCAATTTTTCCTTGTATTTCAACTAACAAAGCATTTTTGTGAATTGTAGGTAGCCCTTGTTTATCCCAACAATGACCCAGTCATGTTTATGGTGGCATTTTACGGCTGTCTCCTAGCAGAAGTCATACCAGTGCCTATAGAGGTACCTCTTACCAGAAAGGTAACGTTGATGGAACTTAGAGGAGTGATAGGCTGATGTGGGATGAAAACCAAGTCAGACCATCAACCTCTGAAAGTGTTTCACAACATCCAGCTGCTGCCTTAGTAGCTCTGTATCAACGCAATGTGCAAGACCTTTGTGAACCTGGAATAGCTGTTTAAAAATGGAAAAACACATTGACTAGAGAGCTGTGCTGAGTAGCTGGAAATGGTCAATTCACCTAAACGCTGTAATCTTCATTCTATTATTGCAAATAATTTATACGGTACAGATAATATTGAGAATCTGCCCTCTGATCGGCGTGAAGGGGGTCTCATTTCCAGCCATGCTTAGCATCTGCCAGTCTTTTGTCTTTGCTGGAGGCTGAAGGTGCTAAGTATTTCTGAAGACTTCAAGGCACTTTTTGTAAATTATTTGCTCAACGAAGTGTTTTCTTTACCCTTACCAGAATTTTTGCAATATTGCCATATTATTGCCATGTCAAGAACTGTCTGAAACTATAGAATTTCATAAGAGGAAACAAAAGAAACAGGATAATGGCAAACGTATGGCAAGAGAGGTGGTAATGAAATGGTAAGCTAGGCTGGTAATCCTATGGGAGTCACAGAGCTTTGCTGTCATTTGTCTGCAATGTGACAACTGCTATAGCAACCAAATACAAAATTCAAACTTCTCCCAGTATTTGCCCAATCAGATTTCTTAGTGAGGTACCTCATTTCAGTGTGTTTATCATTGTGCAATAGAAATTAGTTCCTGAGGAAAGAGAGGCCTTGTTATTTCAGTGTAATTACATGTTTTGCTTCTTTTGCCTCATGATTCCTCTTTGAAGCATCTGGGATTCCATTAATGAAAATAAATGGTGTATGCTCCGTGCCTAGATGCTGGGCATGAGCACTTGTTTTCTGTGGATTTCACATCCAATGCATTTTAGTCTTGCCAATGTAATATTTGTTGTACGTATACAGAGTTCCCTTTGAGAATCACCAGATTCCTCTGCAGTCTGTCCCCAGTTACATAATCGTTTCATTTTTGAACAAAATGAATTGAAAAGAGCAAACTTGGTATGCAGGAGATTAAGTAGCCCTTCTGCATTTTTGTGATGGCTTATCATTTTCCTGTGGACTTTTATTGGCTCGTAGGTATGTCTCCATTTTCACCCAGCAGGCCTTTGTGCTGGATATATATCATCTTCCAAAATGTGTTGTTATGTAGGCTTAGAAGCGGTTGTATTCATCCCTGCCAGACAGCGGTTGTCATTTGAGTTTCAAACCATTGTCAGACATTGGATGTAGGTGGAGAAGGAGAAACCAAAGGAAAGAGTGTTTGTGGGCATGGGTTGTTTCTTCTTTTTCCTCCCCATGTGATCCATAATGTTACCATCCAGTTACCAGAGCATTACCAAACCTTGGATTTTGGTAAGGGGAAAGTTGGCTTAAGTCATCTGTAAACGGGAATGACGTTTTTCCCCTTCTTCCCTCAGGATGCTGGTGGTCAGCAGATTGGTTTTCTGCTGGGAAGCTGTGGTATTGCTTTGGCCCTCACCACTGAAGTTTGTCTGAAAGGGCTTCCAAAAACCCAAAATGGAGAAATTGTGCAGTTTAAAGGTTAGATCAGTTATATATTTGCTTTTGATTGTACTTTTGATATAGCTGAACTGTCTTAAAGTGGTTGTCAGAAGTCTGAATGCTTTTTGGGGTGGGCAAAGTGAGCAACTTTTCTGATAGCATCACTTAACTGCTGTAGGTTTTATGCATATGGTGTAGATTGATCCATGTGTCTGACAGAATTGCTTTGTTGTTCTGGAAGTCACAATGAATCCACCTTACAAGCCAGGGTTGTCCTCAGATCCCTTCAGTGGCATTTGGCAGGTTCAAAAGCAGTTTTATTAATGATACAATAAGCTATATTTAGAAATACTGCAGGGATCTTTCCTGAGTAGAGGAAGTGCCTTGTTCCCATCTGAACTCCCTGATGAGAAATGAGATGAACCTTCTGGCTAGTAGCTTGGCTTGGCTTGGTATTTTGCTTGTGTAACTGAACTTGGACAAATGATGGGGTTTTAGTGTATTCTTGCAGAATATAAATCCCTCAATAAATAAACTGGTATTAATATTCTACTTTAATTTGGCTCTAGGTTGGCCCAGACTCAAATGGGTTGTGACAGATTCAAAATACCTCTCCAAATCTCCTAAGGACTGGCAGCCCAACATCTCAGCTGCAGGAACTGAGCCAGCATATATTGAGGTAAGTAGTGAATGGGGAATAAAAAGTAGTTTCCATGAGCTGAATTTAATGTTCTAATCCCCAGAGAGATAATACTTTCACCTCACTACCTTAAACTTCCCAGTTTCTAGCCACTGAAAAGTCTTTCACTGTGTACAACCTGCTGTGAAGCTTATTTTAGTTTGTAATATCTTTGTGGCCTTGAGCACTGCTCAAAATGAATTGGAGAACACTGTTCTTGTTCCAGAAAGCTAGTAATTGAGACAACTGAGCTCTTGGAGATAGTGTACTTGGCAACACAGATTTCTGAAACTACTTAAGCCGACAGCTTTTCGAATTTTCTGTTCTTCCTAGCAGAGATTATTTTCATTTATATACCTCAGTAAGGCAACTTCTAGGAATTGCAGTGGTTTAAGTAGTAACAGTAATTTGGCTATTCTAATATTGCAACTTGGCTTTTCAGTTTACTTATGGGAGCAGGAGGAGATGTTGTGAGAAGTAGTAACAGTGAAATAAACACAAACACATTCAATTGCCATCTTTATCTCATCTCTCTCTGGAGTTAGCTGAACATGTTTGCTACCTGAATAACTATATTTTCTGTAGTGAACCTTGCTGGTACCTTTCTACAAGCAGGTACTTTTCTGAGTATGTCTCAGCAGCTTTAGAGGAACAAAACTTTATTTAATAACGATTCTGTGATTTAATTTCCTCCACATGTGGGATCCAGAGTCACACCCTGACTTTTTTTCTCTTCTGTAGTACAAGACGAGCAAAGAGGGCAGTGTTATGGGTGTTACAGTGTCTCGGATTGCCATGCTGTCTCACTGTCAAGCCTTGTCTCAGGCCTGCAACTATTCTGAAGGTAGGTGATGTCACAGAAACATCAAAGGAATGAAGGTTCAGCGACATCATTTTCAGTGGTTGCATCTCATATTCTTAACAGCTGTCTGTGAGTAACCAATACACAATAGTATCTACTTAAGAAAAAAAAAAGAAAAAGTAAAAGGATTGCCATGCTGTCTCACTGTCAAGCCTTGTCTCAGGCCTGCAACTATTCTGAAGGTAGGTGATGTCACAGAAACATCAAAGGAATGAAGGTTCAGCGACATCATTTTCAGTGGTTGCATCTCATATTCTTAACAGCTGTCTGTGAGTAACCAATACACAATAGTATCTACTTAAGAAAAAAAAAAGAAAAAGTAAAAGAAGTGCAGATACAATAGTATCTACTTAAGAAAAAAAAAAAAGAAAAAGTAAAAGAAAAAAAGTGCAGATTAATTCTCCCCCAAAAGTGAAGACCAGCTGTAATCTTTTCCATCCAAAACTACATCGTTTTCATTGCCATAGTGAAGAGGAATAACAAGTGGGATTTGCATCATGTCTAGAAAGTTAACGAGTGTTCTGATGAATCAAAAGGGGAGCAGATGACTCAAAAGTGGAGCATTTTCTGGTGAGCTTGAGTCTCCCTCTCGCTGTGCTGGTCACCCATTAAAATGTCTTTCCAAACTTTTGTTCTTGATAGTGTGTGTAAATATCAAAGCACCTCTTGCATAAACTGCTTCTGTACTAGTCGCATGAGGCTTTTTGGCTAACCCAGAAATGGAGATTTGAAATGGCTGGTGGGAGTACAGAGAGTTCTGCTGTAGGATATGGTTTTAGTCTAGTCTACCTTGTAAATCAAGCTAATTTATATATCCATGACTGAAACTTTATTTTTAGAGCTGTATGTCATAGTACTTTAAAATGCAGAGTTTGTCTTTTGGAAGCCATCACTTTAATTTCCATTGCTTCTGGGAGTCAGTGCTTGAATGATGTTCTCTACTCTCTTCCTCTGCTGCTACTCATGCATAATGAGGTTAAGACCCTTTCTGTTCTACTGATGTACGTTACAGGCTGGAATGTAATTTTCTTGCAACTTTCTGGGATGTGTTCCTTCTCTTAAATTGATGTTCAGTTGTGTTATTTTGCATAACAAGGTGCTCTGACTAGTAAAATGTATAATCAGACAAACAAGACGCTGCACTTGCTTGCTACATGTGTACCTCCTGGAGCAGATCTGACAGATTCAAATGACAGATTCCAAACGTATGCAGATGCTAGCATAAATAATGGTCACAGCTGTCCTGGCACATTTCACTTCAAAACTACAACTTTCTTTTCCCAGGTGAAACAATAGTGAATGTTTTGGATTTTAAGAAGGATGCAGGGTTGTGGCATGGCATTCTAACGGTGAGTTGAGCCTGTAAGAACTTTCTGAAGCATTTCGTAAGTCTTCATAATTGCAACATTTGAGGACCATTACCTATTAAGTCAACCATTTCTCTTCCTGCTAGATCTGCAATTCTCTGGAGGGAAGCGTAGAAGCATCCTCAGTAAACTTACGGGAATTCATGGTGGGGTAGGGGTTGATGGGGAGTGAGGGTGACTCCTATTTCTGCTTCATAATACGTTTTGTGAGCCCTTTTCTAAAAATCTTTTTCTACTTTTCAGAATGTAATGAACAAACTGCATACTATCAGTGTGCCCTATTCTGTGATGAAAACCTGTCCACTCTCATGGGTGCAGAGAGTTCATGCCCACAAAGGTACCTGTGTATGTTCCACAACTTTAGCTTGAAGTCCTCAGGATAAATGAGTGAGGGGCATTAAAATCTCAAATGCTTTAGAGCCTGTCTTCTTGCTCTTCCATGACAAATCACAAGGGCCAAAACTCTAATTTATTTCTAAATATGCACAAAGTCCTAATGCCTTGTGAATGTCAGCGAACGTGATGGGGACCTCATGACCTGTTATGACCATTAGTTTTTGAAGCCAATGCCTTTTATGAAACCAAGAAAATAGTTGAGCGCAGCAAGATCCATTGATCCCCAGTCCTCACCAAGGACATTCAGATGGTGATAATGATTTATGCATTTTGGAGGAGGGGCTGCAATAGTGACAGACCCTGGCTCAGGTGGTGGGCAAATGGCTTGTATGCCATAGCAGATGCTATTGTATGTGCTATTGTATGTTGGGGTTTGCTGTTACTGCAGGCTCAATTAATTAAGGCTGGCTTGCTTGCTTTAGTGAGAATTTTCTCATTTGGGAGTGTTGGAGTGTGTATTCATATGAAAATGACTCATGGAAAGCTTTTATTTGTCCTTATACGGTTGTTTTGTGTTGGTTTGCAGCAAAAGTTGCTTTAGTCAAGTGTCGAGACTTGCACTGGGCCATGATGGCCCATCGAGACCAAAGAGACGTCACTTTGAGTTCTCTACGCATGCTGATTGTAACTGATGGTGCAAATCCTTGTGAGTATGCACATCCTGCTGTTTTCAGGAGAGAGGTTTCTCAGCTAGTTGTCTCACAGGCTCAAGCTTAATTCCTTTTGTAGATAATTCCCAGAAGATTTCAGTTAGGGCGGCTGTCTAGTAACACAGAGCTGCGGATTGTGGTACTTGAGCACCAGGGCAAGGGGTTTTCTGTGCTTTCGTCCTTTGAGTATGAGTTGTGAAAGATACTGCAAAGTAAGAAACAGGAGACTTGAATGGGGAGCTCTTGTGTGTAAAACAGAATTCTGGTAGACACAGTGAGATTGGTTTTAAATTGCTCACAGGGGATAAGGTAAAAGCTTTTAAGAACAACTTTTTCTGGGGATTCTTTCCCTTTCAAATCTGCAAGGAATGCTGTTAGTGAAAAGGCTTAAAGAGTTTTTGTCTAGATGGCACCAACTGGAAGGGAAACTTGGAATACCATTAGACCTGTTCTGATTATGCATGCTGCATGGAAACAGACCCCACATATGTGCGCTAATTGTTGGAGGTTTGGAAAGTATTTTAAGCCTGTTGTTGTACCATGGGCGTGTAACAACTCTGAAGCAAATTGGAGGAGAAAAGCAGACTTGTTCAAGAGAACACGCCTTTTCCCAAGTCACGTTCAGTAGGCACTTAAGCTCCTTTGTGGCTGGTATCTTGGAAGATGCTACCTGGAATGTTTAGAAGTGATAAAGTCATAGTGGCATATTTTCTTTCTTTCCAGGGTCTGTTTCCTCATGTGATGCCTTCCTGAGCTTGTTTCAGAGCCATGGGCTTAAACCAGAGGCAATTTGTCCATGTGCCACATCTCCAGAAGCGATGACTATTGCAATACGGAGGTAATGGGCGTGCAGCATTGCAGTCTGTTTGCTAGATTAAGTGATCTAGGCTGAGGTTTGTTCACACATCGGTTGGTCATAGTTGACTTAAGTGTGTAATAAGCTCCACTGACATTTACTGTGTGTGCTCAGGTATTCAAGTAGCTAAGTTGTTAAACATTTCTCCTAAGATACGAGTGCTTTTTTTCCTCTAAGATGCGTGACAGCTCAACAGTGCCTGTAAGAACTGTGCATTACTTTCTCCTGCTCTTGATTTACACAGCTAGTGTGGTATTCTTGAATCTGAGAGTAAATTTGATACCACTTTGGACAGTCATTTTTATAGGCTGTTTCTGTCCGTTGCTGCTTTCTGTAATAAATAGCCCTGTAATCATCTGGCCTGGGAGCTGGGGTTTAACATGGGGTAAGCCAAAGAGCTGCAAGAAGAGTTGCACTAGTCCAAGAATACGGTTTCTTACTGATCAGTGTAGCTCTTCTGGGAGGGAGTTTCTACTGCCATCTCACAGCTTTAAATTTGTTATGCAAAGAAGAGACACTGAAATATGCATATTTCTGTTGCTGCGATATCTTCATCCGAGTCTAATAATAGCCTGTATGCCTGATTTAGTGTATTGATTTTGTGTCTTTCAAAGGCCTGGGGTCCCCGGGGCACCTTTGCCTGGAAGAGCCATCCTGTCCATGAATGGGCTGAGTTTTGGTGTGATTCGTGTCAACACTGAAGATAAAAACTCTGCTCTCACTGTCCAGGATGTTGGCCATGTGATGCCAGGAGGTAAAAATGTGCAGGAGTCTCCTTAAGACCTTTTTGCGAATGGTCTGGAATGTTTTAGAAAAAGAACTGGTCAGTGTTCTATCCCGTATTCAGCCTCAGCGTCGGGGGAGGTTAGGCAGTCCCCATGCTGCGTTGTCATATCTGTCACGGTTACATGTGTCAGTTCTTATACAAGGCAAGTCTTGGGGACTATTTTAACAATGCATAATTTGTCGTAGGGATGATGTGTATAGTGAAACCTGATGGACCACCTCAGCTCTGTAAAACAGATGAGATCGGTGAAATCTGTGTTAGCTCCAGAGCAGGAGGAATGATGTATTATGGGCTGACAGGGGTGACAAAGAATACATTTGAGGTATGTATAACAGAATGCATCTTTCTTTCCCCGTTTCCTGTGTAGAACTGATAGCCTTGTAGATCTCTTAGGTTTGTAACTTAAGCGTTAATGTTTTTTTAAAAGATACACTGAAGAACTCATTGCAGTTAGATATATTCAGTGTTCCCCTTTCATAAAGGTCTCCCACAGTGCTAAAACGATGACTGTACCAGGGATTCCCTCCCCTTCTCCTCATCACTTCACTCGCATATAGTGCAATTCTTGATGTGGGGAATGTTTTTCTATCCTCAGGCAAATCCGCTTTGCCTCAAATGTCCTCCCTTCTGTTGCAGGTTATCCCTGTGAACTCGGCTGGCTCTCCAGTGGGTGATGTGCCATTTGTCCGTTCTGGCTTGCTGGGGTTTGTTGGACCTGTACGTAATACAGTTTTTGAGCTTGCATTGCTGTATTCTTTTGTTCGTGCCAATAGCTTTGAACGTTTAAAAGAAAAGCATTTGGGTACAGAAGTATGTGTAAGGATAGCTTGCTGTGGATAAGATAGTTGAGAGTTAATGGGTTTGCCTGAGCCAGCAGGAGCCCTTACTTTTCCAGCATGTTGTCATTACGGTGCCTTACTGTGTTGCTTGTTACATTTTTGGATTGCTAATTCTTCTAAAACCAAATGTAAGAAGCTTTTTGTATGGCAGTTCTGCTATGCGTGCTGGAGTGTCTTGTCTCACTGAGTGGCTAGAATGCTTCTCCTGATTTAGTCGTAAATGATGTAATTTAAAGAGAAAGAAAACGTGTTTTATACAAATTCCATTGATCTAGCCATAGTTATGAAATATGCAAGTCAAAGACATTTGAATATCCGCTTTATGTAAGTTACTCACTGATACCTTTTTATCTTTCAGGGCAGTTTGGTGTTTGTGGTTGGAAAAATGGATGGATTGCTGACAGTTAGCGGACGTAGACACAATGCCGATGACATTGTAGCAACTGGATTGGCAGTAGAGTCAATAAAAACAGTTTACAGAGGAAGGTTAGCAAAATAAACCTTGCCCCTCCCCATAAGCTTCTGTATGTAATACAGTGGAGCAGAATCTTTAGTATGATCTTCAATTTCTCTTCAGTAACTGGTTGGTTTGGGTAGCTCAGTTAAAGTAAATATGTTTTTGGTTTAGACAGTAATTGGCCTGATCCTGCCCAACACAGGTCTGTTTTCCCCACTGTCATGTCTGGCTTTTCATCAAGTTTGTGTACTTCAAGGGAAGGAATCAAGTAACAAGATAAGTCAGTCACATGGAGAATTTAATTCTCTGTCTCTGTAGAATTTACTTTTAAGTCTCTGTATTAGTTAGCTGCTGGCTGATGCTCTGCAGCAAGGAAGAGTTTCATTCACGTCCAAAGGTATTTACTTTTATTTAGCAGTTGTGGATATAATTTTCTAGACCGTCAGGCAGGGTTGGAGCTCATGTCTCTAAGACTTAACAGGAGATTTTAAGCCCCCTACATCATGTAGATACTTCTAAAGCTTCTATTGCATTGGTGATTTGCCACAGGTTGGAACAGAAATGTGATAGCAGGTTGAGAGGACAGGGGACTATGCTATGTAGGAATTTCATCAGAAGGTGGAATTAATCCCTTACGTACTTCACAAAGTCTTTCCTTTTTGACTTGATTTTAATTGTCTGATGTTTTTTCTCTGTCTTTGCCCCATGGGGTTTTTTGAGTTCTGTCTTTAGTCTGTTTCCTTGGCTTCCTATTCCCAAGGAGTAAAACTGGAATTTGTGCCAATATGGCTCTCCCCTTTTCCTTAGGATTGCTGTGTTCTCAGTATCCGTCTTCTATGATGAGAGGATTGTGGTGGTTGCAGAGCAGAGGCCAGATGCATCTGAAGAAGACAGTTTTCAGTGGATGAGTCGAGTGCTGCAGGTAAGCCCACTTACATACGTGGTCGAGGTGAGTTTGTACAGTTCTTCAGTGTGTGGGCAGATCAGAGGCCATCAGCATGACCCAGATGGAAAGAGCACAGGCTCATGATCCCTCTTGGCACAAGGTATTTTTACAGTGTCACAAGCTGGGTACATCTGCTGTGTACAAGCTGTTCTGTTATGTCCTGAAGGTCCTGGGAAAGCGGCTGCAGCACAGAATAGCGTAGGCTCTGACGAAGTGGTCAGCATTATGCTAGCAAGAGGACTGTGTAGAGAAACACAGTTGCCTCTCAGCACTGCAAAGCAGATCCAGTGCTCAAGCTTAGGAGTTTTGCTTTTAGTCTTGGATCACGCTGGTGCTCAAAGTCATGCTTTAAAGCCGCCCTTATCTTTGGAGATTCATTTTCAGCAGGGAGACAGTAAGCAGAGAAAGGTTAAAACAGCTGAATGAGTGTAGTCCTAAGAAAGTAGAATGAGTAGCAAATACTTTGAGAGCTGCCCGCATCGTGTGTATGTCATTCTTGGGAATGATGTTTCAGGTTGTGAAGTATGCAAACTGGGGAGAAAAATCAGGGAAGTACCTGGTGGTCTGAATAATGTATTAGATGCCTGAATGCTGAGGCGGACAAAAAGGAACAGTGTGATGGTTCAGAGGAGACAGATGGATAAAATCCTGAGATCAAAATCATATGATTCATCGAGCAACTGTATATTTTGGGATTTTGGTCATGAAAGATTTAAAAATGGATTTCTTGTATATGAAATGAACTATAAAGGCAGGGATGCTAACAAGCACTTAACTCTTACCATAGAGCTCACTGATGTTAGAGAGATGAAATGGAATGATAGGGACTGACTTGCTCCCCCATACCTTACAAGTGCAGGGATTTGTCTTGCAGTCTGTCAGTGCAGCGAGTAACAGTAGACTGTATCCAGTGGTACCAAGAATTCAATTGACCATCTTTCCTTTCTCTAGGCAATTGACAGCATTCACCAAGTGGGTGTATATTGCCTTGCTCTTGTGCCAGCCAATACGTTGCCAAAAACTCCGTTGGGAGGGATCCATATCTCTCAAACTAAACAGCACTTTCTGGAGGGCTCTCTGCATCCGTGCAACATCCTCATGTGCCCACACACGTGTGTGACGAACTTGCCAAAACCCAGGCAGAAACAACCAGGTAACACGAGCCCCTTTTGTTTAACGTTAGTAAACTGAAGTTCACAATCTCAGACCTAGGAAGCTGTGTGATGCTTCCGACACTGAGTGTCCTGCTTGCTGGGGACCAGAGCTTGTCTTGTGGCCTGTGGCTGGGGCATGTTTGAGGCCTCTCTTTGCATGTGTCAGTCAGGAATTTTGATTCCTACCTTTGAATTCATTGGGATTCTCTCTACTGATCAATAGGAGACTATCAATGCCTTCTGAGCTCTATCAGTGAGGTTTCATTACCTATCTTCTTGCACCCATGCCCAGGAGCAGTGGGATCCTACAGAGAATCTTTGTACCTTTGCTGTCCTGTAGATTGTAATTCTAGGCCGGCTCCTTTCCATTTGCATTAAAAGTCCAGATTTCATGCGGCTGTTCTTCATCAACAGGTGTTGGCCCTGCCTCTGTGATGGTGGGGAACCTGGTTGCTGGGAAGCGTATTGCTCAAGCCTCTGGAAGAGATCTTGGTCAAATAGAAGACAATGATTTAGTTAAAAAGGTAAATCAGTATTTGTTACAGCTAGAGAATGGGAAAAGAATTTACCCTACAGCTGAATGCAAAGCAGCAACGTGAAGTGGACGTAAGTACTGCCTTTGAAGTAGAAGCACTAGTATTTAATTACCGCCTCTTTGTTTCAGCACCAGTTCCTGACAGAGGTATTACAGTGGAGAGCTCAAGCAACTCCTGACCACCCACTCTTCCTTTTATTAAATGCCAAGGTACAGTCAGTACTGAGTTGTTGGGGTTTTTTAAGGTCCACAGCATGTTATTCAGCGCAAGTTTGAGACTGTCTAAAATCTTTTGCCCACTCCAGTGTCCTCTATTTAGTCTCTGTATTGGATTTTGCCCATAGATTTGTAACTTAAAATTTGAACCTTTGAACCTGTAGGTCACTTCATCTAAATGACTGTCATGGTTCAATGCTTCATTTTAAAACTGAGCGTGTTTGTAGGTCCCACTGGTTCCTGTATCATTTAATGCTGTATCCCTGTTGAGTATATTCTGGCAAGGTTCTGGTGCAAGAAGACCTGAACTGACTCCCTGGAAGGTAGAATTTTCTAGAGCAGATCTAACTCCATCTCTCTCTTTTTGATATTGTAGTGGATAAATGGCTCATTGAATGCCAGCAGCCTATAGGTATAGATAACTAGTAGCTATAGACTGATGCTAGCAAGCAAGTTTGGGTTTTTGCAGCAGCCATTTTACTGATACATGTTGTGCCAGGCCTTGTTTAGAGCATTTTTGTCTCCTTTCAAGGGAACCACTGTGTGCACAGCCACCTGCCTTCAGTTGCACAAAAAAGCTGAGAGAATTGCATCAGTTCTGTGTGACAAAGGACATCTCAATGCAGGAGACAATGTGGTGCTTCTTTATCCTCCTGGTAAGCAAGTTTTAATAATGACTGCATCCCACTGTGGAAATGCAGCATGGTCATTCTTTGAAATCTCATTGAGATCTGGAAATACAGGAGAGAGAATTGAAACAGCGTACCTTAGGGACTGCATAACTCTCTGATCTGGTTTTGAGTCCAGAGAGGGCTGTCCTAATGTCTTGCAGTATCAGGACTCGATCTTCGATTCTCTAGAGTTTTGGAAAAGCCAATTTGTACCTTCTCACTCCTGGCTAGATCTTGCTGTGTCATGATGTTTAGAATAAAAACCTCTAAGACTTCTGTGGTTATCAAAGATCCTCTGGTATGATATGTTCACTGCAAAGTTATTAGAAACTTGTGACTGCGCTGCATGTGCTGGAGAATTGCGCTAGTCACCCTAACAGAAACTCCTCAGCTCCTGGTCTATTCAGATCTTGTCTGTCTGAAGTCACGTTGCCAGCTGGCAGCTTTTCATCCAGGGAAAGCATGTAGTTTGCTATGAGAAATGGCAGGGTGGCTTCTGGGAGAGACTGGTGCCGTTGCCTTCAGCTGTGCAGAAGATGGACACTTCACGTGAGACTGTTGGGTGCCTTTTCTCCAGCAGCAGGCTGGGAACAGTGGGAAGTGCAGTCTGCCTGCTGTGGCTGGTAGCACACAGCTTAATCACTTGGCGTGTGTAAGATGCTCACTGCTAGTGAGAGGTGCTCTCTGGTGTGTGTACTTCTTGCCCTGCCAGACAATTCTGTTTTGTCCTGACTGACTTTTGAGTCATTTGACACTTGGAACATTCTTTTTCTGTAAGATGGATATGGTTTTCTGTGTGGTCAGTCTTCTCTACTTTCCCAGTCCTCTATCCCAAGCTTTCTTAGCTTCCTTGTTGTGCTGCCCTTGGTGTTTGAACTGTTTACGTTGCCCATCTGTGCTGTGGAAGTGACTAGTGTGTGTACCACCTTCTAATGGAAATTGTAACCAATGCTTGGAGAAAAAGTTCTCAGGGGAAAGGCTGATGTCACCAGGGTGGCCATCCACCAGTGTCCTACACTACAGCCTATCGTGTCCTTGCAGGCATTGAGCTAATCACCGCGTTCTATGGCTGTTTGTATGCTGGCTGCATCCCCGTGACCGTGAGACCACCTCATGCTCAGAGCCTCACTGCTACTCTGCCCACTGTGCGAATGATCGTGGAAGTGAGTAACGGGGCTGTAGCTGAGAGCATGGCTGGAGCACTCTTGCTTCGGCCTCTCAGACTCGAGTGGTTAACACAGCTGTCCAGCCTCCCATGCTGTTTACATGACAGCAGTGATTGAAGCACATCTTACAACTGAAGGACAGTATTTTCATTCATGAAGTGCAAGAGAGAACCACCTCTCCTTATGTGGCAAGAGGAATTGCTATGAAACAGGTGGTTTCTGAGAGATACTAACGTGATATTAGCACTCAAAATTTCACATTGACACTCCTTACTGCTGGGCAAGTGCAGATCCTGCTATTAGTTACTTTCCAAGCCCAGTAACCAGGAGAGGATGCCTCCCCATTTATAACCATGGGGAGAAAGCTAGATGTAGACTGTGTAATGTTCTCACCTGCTCTAAAGGTCCTGACATGGTTATTTGCACTTTAGTCTGCGTTTGGGGTTTTAGTGAAGGATGAGTAGAGAGCAGTGTTGCAAAAGCCAAAGAAATTAATGCAAGTTTGTTAGGGGAAGCTGGCTACAGATGGTAAAATACACTCTCTGAACAGCAAATCTTGCAATGACAGTGCCACTGGGACATGCTTTTGTCTTTTTTTTAGTAAGTGTTTATCTTTTTAGGTCAGCAAAGCCGCCTGTATTCTCACAACCCAGACCTTAATGAGACTACTGAAATCCAGAGAGGCAGCTGCTGCTGTAGATGTGAAAACCTGGCCAACCATCATTGACACAGGTGCGGTCCATGGGCTAAAAGACTTTTTGAAGTTCTGTGTAGGTGTTACCATTGACTTCCGAAGAGACTGTCCCCCATTTCAGATGCTAACTGGATGGCTCTTAAGAATTTGTATGAATATTTAGAAAAACAATCCAAGATATAAGCTAGGTCTGACCTTGTTTACTGACATCTCTTCTGCATTTCTTGAGTTATGCATGGAAAATAATTTTATTGAAAAGCCATGTTGCAGACAACTGTTAATTTCCTTAAGACAAGAGCAAGTTGGTCTCTTCTCCCTTTTCCTGAGAATAAATAATTTTCTACATGGGAACTTTGGCAAGAGTCTTGTCATATACTAGTCTGTCTCTTTTGGAAAGAGAATTAATAGAAAGCTTTATTGTCCATCTCGGGCTTTTTGGAAGTTGTGTTCCCCTTTTAAATACCAGTTCAGGAATCAAAAATTAACCACGTTTGTTCCCTTCTTGTACAGATGACTTGCCCAGGAAGCGGCTGTCTCAGATCTATAAGCCACCTACGCCTGAAATGTTAGCATATCTAGATTTTAGTGTTTCTACAACAGGCATGCTTACAGGAGTAAAGGTACAGTAAAATGGTTTTAGAAGACGGGGGTTTTGTTGTCTTGTCTTTGGCTGACATTCTGAACCACCTCTCCCCTCGACCTCCACCAAAGCTGGCTCTTGTAGCTTAAATAAAGACCATGCTTTTCTCCCAGTAAAGCTATGGATTCGCTGCAGACAACGCAGCGTGACTTTGTGCTGAAGAATTAGTTCTGCAATGTAGGAAGACAGGTCTCTACAGTGGGCATCAGGAATTCTGCTGCTGCCTCCCACTGGAGAGCTGCCTGTTAGGAGAGCAGTGAGCGATGCGAGTAGCATAGCTGTAAGCTTCTGCTTTCCCCCCACCAAGAGCAGAACAGGAACGCGGTTGACATAGAAGAGGTTAAGAAACTAAAAAATGAAAGCCTTAGGCTGTCATTAATGATCAGCCGTGTTTGGAGCCTGAGATGCCTAAAGCTTTTAAGCAATAGCTATTGGTATTGCTATTTCTGGTTTACTATGGTTCAGAGGGTTCTGCAATGCTCTGCCTCTGCTATGGAGGATAAAGGAAGAAGAAACATAGTTTATGGAGAAGCGTTATCAAGGCAAACCTATCTCTGTTCTTACCTACCTGTCTTGATGAAGTCCTATTTTGATGTCCTTGAATTTCAGCACAGTCTCTCTTGTGTTGCAGATGTCCCACGCAGCCGTGAGTGGCCTTTGCAGGGCAATCAAGCTTCAATGTGAGCTCTACTCCTCTCGGCAGATTGCAATTTGTCTTGACCCCTATTGTGGACTAGGTTTTGTGCTCTGGTGCCTTTGCAGGTATGACTTTTAAGGGGGAAAAGATTAACTCTTGGCTGGTTATAAATGGGAAGTGGCAGTCCGCGTCTTTATCTGGTGTAATTACAGACAGATTATGTTGACATTACCAAAATGACTAATCTACAGTAAGGGGAGAATTTGTCTTTGAACTGACAATAATACATTCCCTTTTCCTGCAGATTAGCAAGATGTTATCCTGTCTTGATTACGCATATTTGTGCTGCCAAATAATACTGGCTCCAGAATGTTTCTCTTGCCTTTCTTCCTTGATTATACGTTGCAGTAAGGGAGTTTTCGTTCTGTAAACTGTGTGGTTGAGCCAGTTCTCTTCCTTCACTCTGTCAGTGTGTGTGCACATTTGTATGTGTATAAATTGTTATTCTTGTGCAGTAAGTTGTATTTTTAAAACAATGTTGCTACAGAAGCATTGGAGCTATTATCAGTTTGCCTCAGATGCAGAGTCCCACAACCTGCTTTTGGTCTAGCAGGAACGTAACATGAAAACACAGTAAATAGTAATTTAAAGATAACTCCATGCCACACAAAAATGTTTTCTTCCTTAATGTTCTTTACAGTGTATATTCTGGACACCAGTCAATTTTAATTCCTCCTATGGAGCTGGAATCCAATCTTTTTCTCTGGTTATCTACTGTCAGCCAGTATAAAATAAGGGACACTTTCTGTTCCTATTCAGTCATGGAACTGTGCACAAAGGGACTTGGAAACCAAGTTGAAATGTTAAAGGTAAGAAACATTTCTTGAATGTTATGTTACATAAATGAAGGAAACTGTGGTAGTAAAGCAAAGTGATACGATTGTTAAATACAACAGCTTCCTGTTGCTCTTTACAGTGTATATTCTGGACACCAGTCAATTTTAATTCCTCCTATGGAGCTGGAATCCAATCTTTTTCTCTGGTTATCTACTGTCAGCCAGTATAAAATAAGGGACACTTTCTGTTCCTATTCAGTCATGGAACTGTGCACAAAGGGACTTGGAAACCAAGTTGAAATGTTAAAGGTAAGAAACATTTCTTGAATGTTATGTTACATAAATGAAGGAAACTGGTAGTAAAGCAAAGTGATACGATTGTTAAATACAACAGCTTTCCTGTTGCACAAGTCTCCAGTCCACAGCTTGCTCAAAAAGCAAAAGCACCAAAAAACGTTTGCAGCCCCAGGAAATTAAAAGGATTGAAATTGAGTCGGGTGTATGTATTGCAGTGTAGGTAGCACGTTGCCAGTGAGTGTCAGAGACTGCTGGGCAAACCCTACAGGGAGGATGCCAGCAGCAGAATGCTATGCAGAAGAATTGCTTATATAACAGTCTGCAGTGAAGGCTGAGGCCAGCACATGATGTAAAGCACACACGTTAGGCAATTTGCTAAATAGAGGTGTTTTCTCCTTGGAGATGAGAGGAAGGAAAAAAATAGCTACATAAAACACTTGAGGTGGCTTTTTGCATGGGGTTTGCTGAAATAGTGTACTCCATCTATACGATTACGGGTCAGTCTTGTTCTGTTGGCGGCAGAGTTCTGAAGGTGTCTGCTTTGTTGTGTGTCACCAGTTAAACAGAATAATGCACAGGTTCGAACATCTGGCTAGTGCTGTTCAGTGCATTCATGATCATGTCTAGAAATAATAATGGATTCTGGTCCCAGTTTTGTTGAAGACTTGGTGTAATCCCAGTAAGTGACTTTACTCTCACTTGGTTTGGTTTCCACCTATGTAAATAGTGAATAACAGATGTAATCTTAGCTGAAAAGCACTGCAGAAGCACGTGATGCTACATTCTGTAGCAGAGAAAGAAGCACTGTTAATGCATATTTTGTTCTAGCAGTATTTCTAGGCTCTGGTCAGACACATTTTATAATGACAAGTAGAAGCTGAAAAGAGGAAATAACTTGAATACAAGAACAGGGTTTGTCCTGCATTTCTTGAGTGGGATTCCAGGGATAAAAAGCAAATGTCACTTCTTGTGAGGGGACAGATGTTGGTGCAGTGTGGCAGAGGTAATTAACATATACAGTCCTTTGCACTCACTTGTGTCTTTTTCAGGCACGAGGAATTAATCTGTCCTGTGTCCGGACTTGTGTGGTAGTTGCAGAGGAACGGCCGCGAGTTTCTCTCACTCATTCCTTCTCCAAACTCTTCAAAGACATTGGCCTGTCATCTCGTGCTGTAAGCACCACCTTCGGATCAAGAGTCAATGTTGCTATCTGTTTACAGGTAACACGAGTGCTTTCTAGTGCATGCGTTGTCACTGGCATCAGATTTCCAGATTCTGTTGTATTCTGAATCGTCAAACTTCCTAATCTGCACACACTTCGGCGTTGTTAGCATAGCCCAACATCTGCTTTGTAGAGAACAGCTGGCACAAGATTTAAGCAGCTTCTCTTGTTTTCAACTGCCAGATTATATACCAGATGCTCAAAACAACTGAAACATGACATTAGAGAACTGTTTATTTCCATGTAAACAATGACTACTTGCCCCAGGGCTGATAGCTGAGAGTGCTTGGGCTGTCTCCATAGCAGCTCCCCCCTCCCCAAAGATGCATCCTACACTAGAGAGAAAATAGCCTGTTTACTGAAGTGTTCCCCTTAGTGCAACTGTGAAGGTGGGGAAATGTGAATATGAATTTTGCTGCCAGTAAGAAACCCCTGGAAACGTTTATGAGCTCAGGCAGAAGTTACCCTGACTTCTGTAGATACATTAATTTATTTTTTTTAAATGTTAACTCTTCAGGGAACATCTGGGCCTGATCCCACCACGGTGTATGTAGATCTGAAATCCTTGAGGCATGACAGGTACAGTAAGTTTACTTAAACTTACTTAATAACTCTATATAAAATGTTGTAATGGGTACTGAGCTATTGCACCTCTCAGTAGATTTCAGCTCTTTTTTTCCCTGACAATGTTTTCTTTACCTTCAGAGTACGTCTGGTGGAAAGGGGAGCTCCACAAAGCCTGCTACTTTCAGAATCTGGGAAGGTAATTTCACGTTATTACCTAGAGGCATGGCACACAGCATCTGATGACCACACATTTCTTTTTATGTCCCTTATGATGTAGATGTGTAGCTAGGAAAGGTAGTCTTGTGGCATGGCGTGAGAAGAGAATCATAGAATCACAGAATGGTTTGGGTTGGAAGAGACCTTAAAGATCATCAAATCCCACCCCCCCCTGCCACGGGCAGGGACACCTTCCGCTAGACCAGGTTGCTCAAAGCCCCATCCAACCTGGGCTCGGAACACTTCCAGGGATGGGGCATCCACAACTTCTCTGGGCAACCTGTGCCAGTGCCTCACCACCCTCACAGGGAAGAATTTCTTCCTTATATCTAATCTAAA